AAGCGTAAGAAAGCCGCCCCCCACCGCAGCACCCCCTGCCCCCCACGCGCCCGCTGGCCGGAGCTGCAGAGCCCAGCTGTCAGGGCAGGCAGGCCCCGCGTGCAGCCAGGGCCGGGGGGCGGCGCGGGACCACATGGCCTCTGCAGATGGCTCGCAGGGATGATTTTTAACACCCTGGCAGCTGGGGGAGGCGAGAGGCGCATGAGTCACTGGCTGTCAAGCGGCGCCCGCTGCCAGAGGAGGCGGCGGCCGCGGCATGAGTGCCAGCTGGGAGGGGGGAAAGGGCAGGGGCGGCAGGGCCCCCCAGCCCGGCTGCGCTCTCATTCATGTGACGAGCGGTGATGTCCTGGGCCTGGCGGGGAAGGTCACGCTGCCCCGTCCTTGGGCACGGAGAAGGCCGCCAGGCACTGGGGTGGGGGGTGGCGGCATCCCTCCATCCAGCCCAGCGGCACCCCCTGCCCGGGGAGATGCCCACTTGCCCGGGGGGCTCCCTGGAGACCACCTGAGAGCTGGTCTGCGTCTCCCCCTGGCCTGGGCACGGCTGAGCACCCACAGGGCTCTTGGTAGAAAGGTTTATTTTTTTGTATTTACAGAACCCATATGGAAAAACCCCAACCCCAGAGGCGCAGCCCCCAGCCCCACTCCTCCATGCAGGGAGGGACAGGGCCCCCCAGCCCCACGGGTGCACTGCCCTGGACCCATGGCTGCTGGCAGCAACCTCCGTGCCAGGCAGAGGGGCTGGGCTCTCGGGGGGCATGGACCACTCCAGCCCGGGGGGGTCTGAAGGGGATAGGGCTCAGGACTCCCCTGGGGGGCACATGGCTGAGGCCGACTTGCACCCCCATCGCTCCGGCCTCTGGACCACAATGCATAAGGCAATGATGGGGGAGAAGGCGACCAGCTACGAAGGCTTAAATCTGGGATCTTTCCCCCAGGATAAGGTAATTCCTGCCCCCTCCTGCACCCGCCTGGCCAGGCTCCGGCACATCCCTGGTCCCAGGGGGTGGTGCTGACTGCTCCCCCCGCCCCGAGCAGCAGCATATGGCTTTATCGATTTGGCTCTGGTCAAAGGAAAAGCAACTGAAGCCAGTGATGAGTTGGGGGTGGGGGGAGAGGAGGACAGACATAAGTTGCACCCCCCCACACTGGCCTTTCTACCAGCCAGGACAAGCTGTGGGGGTGGGGATAGGGCTTGAGTCTTATAAATAATCACCATCATCATAAAAAAGTTATGTACAAAAAGTGTGCAAGCGGCAGAGGGGGAGGGGGGTCCCTGCCAGTGTCTCCCCAGCGGCACTGCTGTTGCGGGGGAGGGAGCTGGGGAAGGAGCCTTTCGCCCCCACCCCAGGTCCTGCCACCCCCGGGACCCCCAGCACCTCCAGGGCAGGGTTGGAGGGGCCACGTCCCCCTGGGCTATCACAGCTTGGAGGTTGGCGAGCTTCTGCCTTCGCCTGGGGGATGCTCCATCCACCTGTGGCCTTTCCCCACAGCACGAGGCAGGCCTGCTTCTCCCCAGCCCACCCAGCCCGGGCAACGCGGGCACTAGCTGCGGGCGCAGCACGTCTGCCAGCCTGGGGAGACAGCGGGGCTGCCACGTGCCTCCCCCCATGGCTGCTGGGCCCGGTGGGGATGACTTCCCCAGCCCAGCGAGGCAGCGGAGGGCACTGAGGGAGAGAGGAGGGGCACAGCTCCCCCTCCATAGGAACAGCTCTGGGGGTACCCCTTTGAAATAGGGTGCATTGGTGCCCCCCACCGCTGTGGCCGTGGGGGAGGGGAGCACGGTGGCAGGGGGGAGTAACAAAATCCCCGAAGATGGGGTATAAAAAAATCCCCAGCAAACCAGGGGGGTGTCCTGGCCCCGTGGAGGGTCCTGGCACGGCCTCACTGGTCATCCCCAGGCTGATATTGGGGCTCGGTGGCGGTGAAGTAGTCCTCGAGGAAGGACTGGAGGTACTCGAAGGTGGGGCGCTCCTCGGGTTCCTTCTTCCAGCACTGCACCATCAGCTCGTGCAGCGAGGATGGGCAGCTGCCCGGGCACTGCATGCGGTATCCTCGCTCCACCTGCTCCAGCACCTCCCGGTTGTTCATGCCTGTGTCACACATGCTGGGTGAGGCACAGGGGTTGGGGCATGGATGGCTCCCCGCCCTGCTATCTCCCCCCATGCTGGGAAGGGAACCCAGGAGTCCTGACAACCAGCCTGCCCGCTGTCGTCTTGTCTTGTGCTCATCGTCTTCCTATGCAATAGCACCGCCCCCATTTTACAGGTGGAAAAACTGAGGCACAGGCGGAGCAGCAACGGAGAAAAGAGCCCAGGGTTTTGGGAGCCCAGTCCATCCACCCCCATGCCACTAATGGACCCCAGGTAGCCTGATGCCCAGGCCATGCTCTAGCCAGTTACCCCCGCTCTCTCCCAGGTCTCCCCGAGGAGGATGCTGAGAGCTGTACCTGGGTAGGGCACGCGGCCCTTGGTGACGAGCTCGGTGAGGAGGATGCCAAAGGACCACACGTCCGACTTGATGGTGAACCGGCCGAAAAGCGCGGCCTCTGGGGCCGTCCACTTGATGGGGAACTTGGCGCCTGCAGGCAGCGACAGGGCTGAGCTGGGGAGGGCACCATGCTGGGGTGGGGGGGCAAGCCTCACCCGGCCTTGCAGCTGGGGGTGGAAGGGACCGGGGGCTCACCCTGGCGTGCCGTGTACTCGTCGTCCTCGATGAGGCGGGCCAGGCCGAAGTCGGCGATCTTACACACCAGGTTGTCCCCCACCAGGATGTTGGCGGCGCGCAGGTCCCGGTGGATGTAGTTCATCCGCTCGATGTAGGCCATGCCGGCCGCGATCTGGGGCGGCGGGGGGAGGAGAGTGAGACCCTCGCCGTGCCTGGGGCTAGCAGGACCTGCCTGGCCCTGGACTGGGGAGGAGGAAGAGGAGGGCAGCTCCCAGGCTGAGCCCCCGGGTCATCCTCGTGCCCCTGCCCCGGCTACCTGCGCGGACATGTCCACCAGCTGCGGCAGCTTCAGGAACCGGCCGTCTCTGTCCTTCAGGAAGTCCAGCAAGCTCCCTGCAGGGTGACAGCCCGGCTTCAGCCCCTGGTCCCTCAAGACCCCTCGCCCCCTTCCCTTGCCAGCCCTCTCTCCTGGTCATTGACTGCGAGAGCCCCGCGGAGCAGGGATGGTGTTGCGAGCCTCCTCCCCACAGTGCCCTGCTCCTGCCCGCTCCAGAAACAAGGCATCCAGGATGCTGGATGCCACGGGCATCCCTTCAGTGGTGCTGCCTGGCCCCCGAGGCCATGCCCACGCTCACCCTGGCTCATGAACTCGGTGACGATGTAGATGGGCTCTTCTGACACCACGGCGTAGAGCTGCACCAGCTTGTCGTGCCGCAGCCGCTTCATGATCTGCGCCTCCTCCAGGAAGGCCTCGGGCGACATGGTGCCCGGCTTCAGCGTCTTCACCGCCACCTTGGTGGTCCCGTTCCAGGTGCCTGGAGCCGGTAGGGCTGGGTCAGGCGGGGGCTCCCGGCACACGCGCGCCCACCCTCTCCGCCCCGGATGAAATGGAGGGCGTACAAGCAGGGAGAGCCCTAGCTAACGGGGGTCTCCGGGTATCCCCAGCGCCCGCCTTACCTATCCACACGTCTCCGAAACAGCCCATGCCGAGCTTCTTGTCCAGGGTGATGGAATCCCGCACAATCTCCCAGGCGTCCTTAGCTAGGCCCAGGGTCTGGGGCCGCATATTGGGGCATGCCCGGGTTAGTAGATGGCAGAGACCGTCATTGTGCTCTGGAGGGGGGGGACGATGGAGGGACAGGGGCTGGAAATGGAATGGACGCAGCATGCACGCGCGCGGCCAGCAGGCACCCGGGCGAGGGAGAGGAGGAGGAGGAAGGCCCCTCGGCCCCGGCTGGTCCCCCATCACCTGCTCACGGATGCTCGGCCAGGGGCCACCGGGCTGCAGTCTCGGGTTCGGGCACCAGGTGGGGATGCCGGCTTGCACTGGGATGCCGGCTTAGCGTGGGGTAGGGGATAGGGATGGGGGCACAGGGAGTACCCAGAGCCCCTCGCCACCGGCGGCTGCTGTGGAAGCCAGGGTGATCCTGGGGTTCGAGACCCGTGGCCCTGACCCTGGACTCTCTGGCCTGGCCTGGAGCGCGCGGCTTGGAGCAGGTGATGGGGCTTGCGCCTGGGGCAGCACTGAAGCAGACACTGGATCCGAGGGCCAAGCCCCTGCCAAACGGCGGGGATGGGACTGCCCCGTGGCCCACACACCGGAGACCCCCCTGCACCCCCTGGGAAGGCGCTGAGCTCCAGCAAACTCACTGCAGACAGTCTCTGCAGAGCCTGTGGCGCGCCCGCAGCCGTGTCCCGGAGCTGCCCGGGCCCGGTCCAGTCTCTGCCGTGCTGCCCCACGGGGCTGGGGGCTCTCCCCCGCCTCTCCCAGCCCGGGCCCCAGCGGCCCAGGGCCTACCCATCCAGACTTCCCCAAACTGCCCATTGCCCAGCTTCTTGAGGAGCTGCAGCGACTCGCGGGGGATCTCCCACACGTCTTTGGTTTTGACGGACAGGTCCGCCAGCTTGGGCATCCCCCTGTGGCACGGCACGACCAGGCGGCAGCACAACCCCGCGGCTCGCTCTTGGGGCACGAGCCGGGCATGGAGAGAGAGGCGAGAGCACGGACGGAGAGCAGGTTAGAGTCGTGGGTCCTGGGCAGTAAAACGCCTGACGGGGGGCAACCCCCAGGGGGCAGCACCTTCACAGGTGGGTCAAATCCTAGCGGGGCAATCCTGCCAGGCAGCAAGGATGCTGTGGGGAGCCCCGACACAGGACTGGGGCCACGCACCTGCACCTCTGTGCCCCGAGCCCAGGGAGGTTTTCCCGGCGGGTGCAGAGCCACGGAGGTCACGCGGGATCTGGGCTGCGGGGTTGCCCATGGCTTCCAGCCCAGGGGCTGCACCCTGGGACCCCTCTGTGCTGGGGAGCCACGACCAAGTGACACTCCCATGCCCCCAGCTCCTGCACCCGGGGTGGGAGCGGGGTCCCTGCGTCTGGGGGCTGCTGTCTGGTCTCTTCCGTCCCAGTGGGGAGCTGGAAGGTGGAGGCACCACGGCACTGCCCCAAAGCCCTACCCCCCCTGGGGGCTCCTGGCCTGCGACCCAGACCCCCTCACCGATGTAATGCTGGACCAGCTGCTGCACCGTCTCGAACTGGGCCCGGGTGGTGATGTAGTAGCCGCCGTTGTCCAGCTTCCGGATCTTATAGTGCTTCACGTGGTCGCCTTTCGCCTCGTCCCAGTCCCGGATGGACAAGGAGTAGGCACCTGCGGACACAGCCTCCAGGTCAGGCCGGGAGCTGACCCACACCCCAGGGCACCAGCGGGCACCGCTCTCGTGGGGCCCAGGCACAGCCCGCAGACCCTCCCGGGGCTGGTACCTTTGGTGGTCTCGCTCTCCCGGATGAGGAAAGTGCCGCGGGGGTTTCCAGGGCACAGGATCTGCCGCTCCGCGTCCTTCCGCCCGATCTTCCCGAAGTACCACCTGTGCGGGGGGATGCGGGGGCAGCTCAGCAGCACCCGGCGGGCATGCCACCCCCGGCACTGGGCACTGTGCCTTTGGCGGGCTCTGAGCTGCGATTTGGGACAACTGGGGCTTTGCTCCTGGCTTCCCGTGCGCCGTGGGACCGCATCTCACTGCACATGTCCGTGCAGAGCCTGGCGCCACGTGGCACAGATCCCGGTTGGGGTGGGCATAGACAGGCCCTGGGGCTGTGACTTAGGGCTGGGCAGCTTGCGGCTAACCCAGCCTCTGGGAATCAGGACGCCCGGGTCCTATTGCCTCGACTGGCAGCTCACGGAGGGGACAGGGCTAACCCGGGCTGCACCTAGGAGGTCGGGACCTGCTGCCCTGCGGGCTCTCGTACTCACTCTTCTGCCTGGATGGAGTCCACCGGCGCCACGTAGTTGCTGGGGACGTAGCCCGTGGCCCCCGTGCTCAGGGACCTCGCTTCCCACCAGTCACCCTCGCTGGGGAACAAGAGAGCGGCACGGAGTCAGGGACGGAGGAGACAGAGGCAAAGGGACCCTCGGCTTGGCTGGATGCCCCACCCCGTCCCCGCAGGCTTGCCAGCCGGGAGTGGAGGACATGGGCTCTGCTCCCCTCTAGCCACCGCTGTGCTGCCGGCCCCGTGCTCGGCGAGCTCAGCCTCCGCACAACAGCAGCTTGGGATCTGCAGCTTGTGTCACAAGCGACTGAAGCGGCAACGCTGGCTGGGATGCATGCAGCCCCTCGCACCCCGCTGATGATGCCCGCCAGCCTGGTGCCCCTCTGAGCTGGACGCGGTGCACGGGGGGCGTGGGGCACCCTGTCACCGGGGGGACTCACGTGTTGTTGATGATGTGGAACTTCTCCCCCTTCAGAAACGTCAGGTCGTCCTCCGTCCGGGCCTCGTAGTCGTACAGGGCGATGAACAGCGTCACGCCCCCACCTGTAGGGCACGAGGCAGCCGGTCAGCACCCCGGGCGGAGCCGACGTGGCAGCAAGCCCTGTCACAGTGGGGGCTGCCCCGGTGCTCAGTCTGGATGTGGGTGCGGCGGGGGAAACTGAGGCACGGGACGGGGCGAGGCTTGCCAGCCCGTCAGAAGCAGACCAGGGAACAGAGCTCAGGGCGCTATGTGGCAGCCCGTGGGGTGCCCTCCAGGCACTTATGGGGTCTGCTAGGAAGGGGACCCCAAGCCCTGTCTCACCCCCCAGCCCTGGGGTTTGACCTGCCTGACACACAGGACACACGAGGCAGCCCCTACCCCCGCCAAGAGCCCTGCCCTAGGCACCCATGCTGCTCCCAGCGGAGCCTGGGGCTCGCCCCTAGTGAGGACGTGCTGGGGGTGGGGGCTCCCGGGGGACACTGACCCGTGATGCCACCCCCACGGCCGTGCAGGGTGCTGCTGGGGTAGAGGCCGGGCCCCAGGAAGGCGGTGCCGGCGGGCGTGGGGGAGCCGTGGAAGTTGTTGAAGTCGGGGATGCAGCTGAAGCTGGCAGCAGACTGGGTGGGGTCCGGGTCATAGTGGGTGCTGGGGACCAGGTTGATCTTGCCATCGCAGCCCTCGCCCTCGGCTTTGCCGGACCCCTTCTTTTTGCACTGCACGCAGCCCATCCTGGGGACAGCTGCAGCAGGGGAGAGAGCGCGCAGGCGTGGGTCCGTGCACTCCCCGCCCCGACGGTCCAGCCCCTGCTACGGCCTGCCTCCCACCACCGCTCCACCCCACTGACCCCAGTGCCTGAGCCTGCAGGCCCCTCCCCAACCCAGCAGACAGCTGGGAGCCCGGCACCAGAGAGCACGTGGCCGCATGGGACGGCACGGGTGTGACATGCCGATCACACGCGTGTGCTGTGCAAGCAGGGGAGGGGCCGGGGGTGCCTGCTGACCGCCTCGTCCTTTCCAGCTGTCAGATTCCCCTTCTCCAGGCAGATGTGGCCAGGCCCCCCCACCCCCAGGGCAGAGCACGTGGGAGCCTGCTGGATGCAGGGGGTGGGGGACGGCACGCGAAGCCAGGGCTCCTAATGCAAAGTGACAGCCATCGCAGACACCTGCCCACGGCCGCCCGGGGACACGGGACGGGGCCGAGGAGCAGCTGAGCCTCAGGTCCTGGCCTTGCAGCCCCCCTTGCTGGCTTGTGGGGTCCCCGGGGCAGCTGCGCAGGCTCCAAGGCACCGCCCGGGTGCGGGCGGGGGGGAGAGGAAGCTCCCTCTGGATGCCCCTGCTCTGCTGTGGGGTCTGACAGCCTTAGATCCCCCCCCACCTGCCATCACCGGGACCCCCACACCACGGCACTCACTGGGATGCCTCCTGCGGTCAGTTCAGCTGCTCCATGGTCCCCGCGGCAGGAGAACAAGCACCTGGAAGCACACGGAGATGATGAGAGGCGCCAGCGCACAGCGGCAAAGGGCAGGGCCGCCCCCACCGGACCCTCCCTGTCCCCTGAGCCCACTTCCCCCACCTGGCAGTGACTCAGAAGCATTTGGGGAAGTGCCCCAGGGAAGTCAGGGCTTGCAACACCCACGGGGGGTCATGAAGATCTCACGCCCACGTCCCCGGGGGCACCAGCCCACACCGCTGTGCGTCGTAGCTGCAAAGCGGCTCCCCCGCAGAGCTGGTCGCATTTCAGCCGATGGTTCTGGCCATGCCTGCGCCGGGGCTCCTTGCACGTCATGCCACCCCACCCCATCGGCTCCCGGTTCCTGGAAGCCGACAACTCACTTCCCTGCTGCTGGCCGGTGCCTTCCCCGCTCCAGAAACTCTCCCCAACTCCACGTGCCAGCCCCGTGCCAGCCCTGGCTGGATTCAGGCGCAGCCGGACTCTGTGGCACCGCGCGAAGCTGCCTGGCTTTGCTCAGGGTGATGCTCCAAGGGGAGGGTGCAACCCCCAGAAGTCAGTCTTGGCTCCCCGGCAGCCCCCAGCTTTGAATCCAGGCTGCCTGGGCCCCGATCCTGAGAGCAGAGACCGGGCGCTGGGCTGGGCCGGCCTGGAAGAGCTGCCAAGTCGGGTCCGGAGATGCTCATGTCACGACCCTGCTCTCGAGGGCAGCCTGCGGCGGCTGGGGGGGTGCAGACCCCTGCTCCCCAAAGGCAGCTGGCTAGCAGGGCCAAGCAGGGGCCTTTGGGCCAGAGATCGGGAGAGGGGGCTCTGGGGCAGATGCACAGGGCAGGGGAAGGCGTCTGCGTATCCGATCCGGGAAGCATTTCCTTCAGACACCCCTGCAGCCACCTCCTCCCCCCGGCCGGCCATTTCCTCGCTCCCCCGCGGCCAGACAACAATGAGGATGGAGAGAGACCCTGTGGGACCGGACACGGCAGAGCGGGGCCCGGAGCCGGCCCCTCTCCCAGCGGGGACGCGGGCCCCGCAGAGCTGCCCCTTGCGGACGTGCCCCCTTGGCCAGGCGGGCGCGGGGGCCCGGGGGAGCCGGCTCCCCACTTCCCCTCGGGCTGTGAACTTGACGCAGAGAAAGTCGGGGGCCGGACGGCGCACTGACCTCCGCCCTCCCAGCCCGCAGGCTGCAGCCACGGCGAGGGGGCTTTGGCCACGCCGAAGGGCAGCCGGAGGGTGGCTTGGCACACGGGGCACCAGGCAAGGCCTGATCCTGATCCTGCCCTGTGCTGGGCGTAGACACCTGCCCTGGCGGTAGGAGCCTGGCAAGCTCTACCCTGCCAGCACGCTTGCACCCACGCCTCCGTGCCAGCCCCTCCGGCTACGCACCGAGGCCTCCCCGGCCCAGCCAGGCTCCCAGCAGCACGGCCCCGGAGCAGGCGGGACGGACGCGTTTCAACCCGAGGCGCCGGCTCTTCTCAGCCCTGCCCGCACTTACCCCCGCAAGCCCCTCGCAGCCCCGGGGCCAGTCGGCGGGAGCCGGCGCTGCAGCCCCGGGAAGCCGCTGGCCGGCTTGTGATAGTCCCACTTCCGCTCGCCGGCCGCGGGCGCTGCCTGTTCTCGGAATGGAAGAGGAAGGGGAGCGAGGCCACGGGTCAGCGCCACCGCTCGCAGCGCCTGCTCCGGGCACGGCAGGAAGGGAGGGCCCGAAACGGCTCTTCCCTCAGCCCGTTCCCCCCGGCGCGGGGCGGGCCGAGCCCTTGCGCCCTCCCTCGCGCCAACCACGGCTGGCTCGTGGCCTGGGAAACCGTTGTCTCCGAAACGGTCGCGTCGGGTCCGCCTGGGCCAGAACGTGCCAGCTTCCCGCGAGCTCCCCGGTCCACCGGGTGCCCGGGCCGCGCGAAAGGGCGTCGAACACAGGATGCTTCAAACCAAGCTCCTGGGGCTCCTTTCCCACCCGCGGAGGAGAATCGGGGACCAGCCGTGGCTACGGGGAGGCTGCCTGGGCATCCGCGGGCAGAGCCGGAGACCGAGCGAGACTTCGCTGCAGGTCAAACCGAAGGGAAAAGCGATCCCTGTTTTCTGGTGGGCTGAAAAGCCAGAAGGGATTTGGTGGAGTGGGGAGAGGAGGACAGGGGTTGCACCAAAGGCTTCGTTCCCCCCCCGCCAGGTTGAAGCATTTTGCTCCCATTTCCAGCGTTTTTAGCTTTTAAGAACCAAATCGGGAAGGAGGATGATAAAGAAACAGCTGCTCCCACTCCAGAATGGCCACGGCCAGACTTTCCCCTAAGCTTTTTGGGGAAAACATTGGCCTGGCTACATCACCCAGAGCGTCGTGGCCCCGGCCCCCCGCGGCGCTCTCCCCGGGACCTTGCCCCAGTCGCAGGAGCTGGCGTCTCCCGGAGAGAAGGGACAGGTTGGGGCCAAGGCACAAGAGGGACGCGGTGAACGGCGACACACTGGACGCGGCTGCTGGTATCCAGGGCCCGAGCTCCCGAGCACGGCTCTGAGCTGTCACGTTAGTGCCTCCAGGCCCCTGTACGGACGAGGCGTGAGCGCCGTCCCTGCCCCGGCTCACGGCCCGGAGCGGGGGGACTCAAGGACGCTCTCGAATTTTGGTAGCTGCGTGGCCCCCAACTTGAAAAACTCATTTATAAAGAGTTTACCTCCCAGCAGCAGGGGTGGGGGATCCTCCAGGCAGGGGCAAGCCTGAGCGCGGCTCATCCCGAGCCGCGGCATCGTGACGGTGCCTTGTGCCTGCCCCCCAGCCTGCGGGGCCCTGCCGCAGCCGCAGACGTGACCCGCAGCACTGCGGTGAAGCAAGGAGTGCCCAGGGTCGGGCTCTCCTCTGTTGAGGGGCTGCGGGACGTCTGAGTTTCAGACCGGGCTTCACACGGTGGTGCTGCACGCAGCACGGCTGCACTGACCGCAACCCCCAGCGTCAGGAGCAAGGGCTGAGGCGCTGGGGCCAGAACTCGAACCCGTGACCCTAGCAAACCCAGGCCTGCGGACGTGGGGGCAGGCTCAGAGGGACGGGGCACCCGCGAGAAGCCATTAGGGCACAGGAGGGTGGAGACAACAGCAACGCCCCTCGTCCAGGTCCATGGGAGAGGCCACATCCCCAGCCCCCGGTGCTGCCCCGGGTCCCCAGCCCGCGGGCACGGAGAAGCCCACTGACGGCGCGAGTGCGTCAGAGCGCACGGTCACCACAGTGCCCCAGCCCTGCGGCCACTGTCGGACGCCGGCAGCCCCGGACAGGCACAAGGGCGGCTATTGAGCTGCAAGGATGCTCAGTCTTCCTGGCCCGGGGCCAGGCCCATCCTACAGGCACCCATTGTCTGGGAGGGCACCTCTGAGGCCTGCCCCCTCTCGCCCACCGCCAGCCGGCTCGGCCCTAGCTGGGGGAAAGGGGAAGCGGGTTTCCCCGCTGGCAGGAGCTGCGATGAGAGGCAGCCCCCGGTCAGAGGAACAAGGGAGCGGGTCCGGGGTCTCAGGGGAGCATCCCCCGGCAGACAGCACCTACTCTCTGCCGATGCCGCCGGGCTGCCTCCCCCCAACCTGCCCTTTGGCCATGTCTCCGGTATTAACGCCCTTATTCTCACCCCCAGCCGCCCAGGGTCTGGAGCGAATGCAGGGCACCTCTCCGGGTGCCGGGAGGGTTGTATAAAGCTTTGCCCCTGCAAGATGCACGGTGCAGCCCAGGGGCTGAGGCAGGGGAGCAGGAAGCCCAGGGTCGGCTGCTGACCGGGTCCCCTGTACGTGGGGGCCTCTCACCCCTCTGAAAGCCCTCGGTCCAAGAGCCGGCCCCCGGAGCCCCACGCAAGATCCCGGGACGAAACCCGCGGGCACCCGCCGGCGGCAAACCGAAGCACCAGCCCTGCGCGTTTGCTCACCCCTCGCCCCGCTGCAGCTGTCCGGATGGGATGCATCAGGTCCCCCGCGCCCGGGACATCACGCCAAGCACTTCCCGGGGGGCATCCCCCGCGCCGGCCGGTGGCTGCAGCTAGCGCCCCTCTGCCGTGGCCATCAGGGCCTCGTGGCTTCTCGGCAATGCGAGGGAGCGCGCCTGCCTCTGCACAGACACAGGGAGGGCGGGGAAGTGTCACCGCCGCTTCCGGAGGGGCCCGGAGATCTCCCAGCCTTGGCCTGACCAGACCGGGGCTGCGAGCAGCAGCCGTGGCTGGGAGGTGACAGCGGTGGGGGAGGAACTGCAGAGCAGCTCGGTGCAGAGGAAGATTTCCCCTCTCTGCAGCCATCGCCACAGCCCTCGCAGCTTCCTCTGCTGTGGCGCTGGCTTCTCACTTAACCCTTTCCTCTGCGCGCGGCCACCCGCCCCGGGGCTCCAGACGGAGAGGTGGGGGCGGGGAGGGCTCTCGCGGAGGCCCCTGCACGGGCTTGCCCCCGCCCGCTGCCTGCCCGGGGCAGGGGGAGGCTGGAAGCATCTTCGCTCGCCCGGCGAAGGTGCCAGGGAGCGTCACTGAGCCGGGCTGCTCCACCCCCGCCCTCCCCGGGCAGCTGGGGCCTTCCAGTGCGTGCACAGATGTGCTGGGCAGGTGGCCGAGCACCTGGGGCCCAGCCGGGCTGGGCTGGGGGGTTAAAAAGGGGAGAGAAGCCAGCGCTGGCTTGAAAATCAAAGGAGATGTGATGGGGGGTCTGCGCTGCAGGTCGGGCCAGGCTGCAGGCACAGGGAAGATGGGCCGTGCAGCGCGGCCGCGGCCTCGAGGCTGCTGCTGGAGGCCTGCCCAGCGGCAGGAGAAGGGGTCGGCGGGTCTCCCCCAGGCCTGGAGCGCAGCCAGGCTCCGAGCAGATGGCGGATCCTCGACCGGGCACGGCTCTGCCAATGCCCCACGGCCCCGGCCTAGGGAAGGGGCCTGAGCAGCGCTCTCCCCCCACCGCCGGCGGGTCTCTGCAGCCCGTACGCTGGGACGTTTGCCCAGCAGGGCCTTCGCCAAGACTCAGCACGCTCGTGTCACCTATGCCAGGCCACCGCCCCCGCCAGCCCCTTCCCAGGCTGGAGCCATCCGGCCACCCTGTTCCCTCTGCTTGGTTTTAAAGCGTTTCCGAGACCTGCCCCGTGCTGACGCAGGGCACGCGGCTGAATCAGGAAGCTGGCTGAGCGGCTGCAAAAAGCCCCTCTCCTCCCTGTCATGAGCTGCCTGCAAAGCAGCCCCCGTCTCCCTGCACCCCCCCCCCAAAGCAAGTCCTTTGCCACCTGAAGGCAAGGTCCGCACAACGCCTGAAAACCACCCATCTTATCTGCCTTCCGTTTCCCTCCACCCATCGCCTTGCACGGCTCAGGGAAGCAGAAGGGGGGGTCTCCCGAGACACCCCGGGATGAACGGTGCCCCCGCGGCATAGGGGGACGAGTCCTGAACGTGGGCACCAATGGCCCGGCGGGGTTGGAAAGGCTCCCCTTCCTCCAGCCGCGCAACCAAGTGCAACAAGCCTTGAGCAGTGAAAATAGCCCAGGCGCTTGCAGCTTGCGGCAGGGCTGGCGTCTAGTCAGCTTCCTTTTCCGCTCCCAGGCTCGGACCCGAGCGCTAAGGGGCTCTCGGAGCGAGCTTAAATACCAGGGGTCAGCGGGACCCGGGAGCATGGAGGAGAATCGCCCCCTCTGCGGTTGCAGGAGGCAGAAGGACCCGCAGTGGAGCCCCATGTTGCGAGGCCAAAAGGGGGCTCAGGCCCTGCGGTTCGGGGCCCCCAGAGCACCCCGAATTGCCAAAGGCGACAGCCCAACACTTGACACCTTCCCCTCCAAACTCCCAGCACCCCGCCAGCAGACGACTGGACAGAAGGGGCTTTGAGCCAACCGTCTGCTCGCTAGAACAAACCCCGCTCACGGTCGCGCTGGTGTAAGATTCACACCACCAAGCCAGCATCCGGACCGGGCTCCAGCTTTGCACCGGCAAGACAGGAAGATGCAGCTCCGGCACCTGGGGGCATTCGAGACCCAAGCCTGCGAACAGGGCTGAGCTCCCACCCTGGCTCTTACAGGGATGTGCTGGAGGAGGCCAGGCAAGCTCCTGTGCCTCAGTTTCCCCCCCTCGGTGTCAAAGGACGGGTCAAGGTGCGCAGAGGCAAACCTATACCCCGAGCACAGGGGCAGCCCCCAACCATGGGAAGCCGAGTGCATGGTACCTGCAGGGGGAAGAGGAAGCCGTGTCCTTCCGGTGGTGGGGGGAAGCGGTGTGGGCCCTGGTGAGCCTGGCTGCAGGGCCCGGGACAGGGGGATCCCACGGCCGGCTCCAGAGCCAGGGAGCGGGGCAGCGGGCGAGAGGCCACGGGGCTTACCAGGGCACATGCCACCGTGGTGCCCCTCTCCCGGGGTAGGTCAGCATCAGTGCCCCCTTCTAACATCTGGGGAAACTGAGGCACGGGGTGGGAAAAGCCCCCCCTCCCAGCACAGGCAGGAGCTCAGGGGCAGAAGCTGACAAATTCACCCTCCCGGTGCCACGGGGCGTGCGGGTACCGGTGGGCAGAGACAGGGGAGATGGGACAGCGCTTCAGGTCATCCCCTGGGCCTCCAGACCCTGCAGCCGTGAACCGAGGCCGCGGTGGCTTCCTCTGCTCCGGCACCTCAGCGAGCTGCGATGACACCTCCCCAGGCCCCACATCCTCTCCCACCTGGCCTGGCACAAAAGCCTTGCGAAGACCCCCATGGGAGGCTGAGGCGGGCCGGGGGGCTCTGAGCATCGTGGGGAGGGCAGAAGCCAGCTCCCACCACCAGCCGCGCACGGGAGGGAGGAGAAACTGGGCCGAAAGAGAGAAACCTGGAGCGTGAGGGGCCAACTGGGTGCAGAGCAGGGGCTCTGCTCATGCGGACCCGGCTTTGCCCCCTGCCACCAACGCCACCGGGCTGGGAGCGGGGAACGTGCCCCTTGCAGCGAGACTGGGGGAAAGAGCTCCAAGAGCTCACAGGGGGAGGCCGCGGCGGCGAGAGACCCGCTGCATCCGTGGCGGAGCACGACAGGGCTGGCGCAATGAGGGGGCTCTGCCGCCACAGCCCGGGCGCGGGCAGCCACACGCCCCCCAGTCCTGCTGAGGCTCATGTGCCCGACATCACTGCTAGATCCCGGCCGGCGCTTGCCTCAGCGGACAAACACGTCCCCCGTGGCAGGGAGCAGCTTCGCGCCGCCAGCCGCCCCCCTCCCGGCAGTCACCCGTCGCACGTGTGGGAAGCCCGGCGGGCCGCGCCACCAGGCCCGGGCACGTCTCACGTGGCCACAGATCCCGCCGGCCCGCGGCAGCCCCCGACCGCACAGCAAGGGACGCAACGGCCACCGAGGCCGTACAGCCAGCCCGCTCCCCTGCTGCCGTCCCCCTCCCACAGCTCGCCCCTGCCGTCGCCCTGACCCACCGTCCTGGCACCTCGTGGCAAGGCCTGGAGCTGGGATGCTCCAGCTGAGCTCCCCTTCTCTGCCGTGCAGCAAAATGACCCCTTTCTCCCGTGTGCCGGCTACTTCAGACCCGCGCGCTGGGCAGGGACCTTGCTCATGGTGCCTGGGTAGCGGGTCCTGCTCTCTGCGGTGCAGCATCAAACGAGGGGACCGGGGGGCGCGAGTCAACATCGCGCAGCCCCGCTTGCCTGGAGGAGCTGCCCTCGTCCGAGGGCCCGCGGTGCCCCACGAGCGCCTCGCTCGCTGCCCCCACGCCGGCGGCGCAGGACAGGCCGGCGCCCCAGGGGACGAGCTGAAGCCGCGGGCCAGCACGGCCAGAGGCAAGGGGACAGCCCCAGGACTTCCAGGAGCGCCGGAGGCTGGCAGCGCAGAGCCGCGCTGGAGCCGGAGCTTGGCGGGCGGGCGACGGAGCCCCCAGCCCCAGCCTCGCCAGGCCCCGGTGACCTGCGCCCCGCACGAAGCCGGGGCCCGCAGAGAAACCGTCTGATCTTGCCTGGTTTCTAATCAAACAGCACAGAAACCAGGCTCCC